AGATGGGCGGGGCACCTAGCACGCATGCGAGAGTACTCTTACTGACAACCAAGCCACTCGGACGATCTGGGCGTAAATGGAATGATAATATTAAAAGGAATCTTAAATACGATGGGAGTGTGAATTTGGTTCATCTGGCTCAGGATATGGACCAGAGGACATGGTAATGAACCCTCGGGCGTCATGGAAGGCTAACTGAGCGACTCGGAAGATTGCGAACCATAAATCAAAGATGCATGAATTTTAAGATTAAATTGGCTCTATTCTGGGACTTTTAAGAGTAACTTATTGCTGACATCATCAGGGCGAGGAGTTCGTAATTTTTTTTTCGGATTACCCCTCTTCGCTTTGTTGAATTAAACGACTGTGCCTTTTCGAGTGTTTGAACCAGAACTTTTCTGATACTTATCGATACTCTGAAACTGAGAAAGTGCCCTTCGAGGGCGTTGTTTCATGGCGAACACCTGCGTAATGGTGCTTCTGGTGCTCGTACCTTGTACTTGCTGAGGTATTTCGTGGGGTCGTAGCTGCGCCCAAGTTCCGCCTGGACCTTGAATCGGTTCGGCTCGTGAACTTTGTTCAGCAACTTCAGCACCTCGCGCTGTTTCGACAGGAAAGTCTTGTCAGCTGCAAATAATTCATTGGGATCAAAACTTAGGTAAAAAAAAAGCTATAGGCCTACATCTTAAACGTAAGAATCGATTACATGTGTTTCTTAACACCCGTTTTAATATTATCATTCTACCTCTGCCTCACTTTAAAAGACATTTCACCATCAAAATGCTGTGATTATTATTAATATTATTATTATTATTATTATTGATGAAAGACTCCCAGGTTACAAGCCGCGTCAGGTGGCTGAACGGTGAATAAACCATATCTTCTGCCAACGTTTCGATAACAATCTCTGCTCTCATCTTCAAGGCTGAAATGACGCTGTGTTACGTTTCTGGTAACTTACCTGGCACTTCGCCACGCACCAACTTGGAGTCGGCCAGGTGGCACATGGACACCCCTAGCAGGGCCACAATCAGGATGCACTTCATGCTGTTCGCCCCACCACTCAGCAGTACCCTGCAGGAAACTTAACCTAATCATTTATACTGCAATAGTTGACTTTTGAGAGCGGGCGGTGTGACCAGTCTTTGGTGCCGTGCGAAATCGCCCTCCGAGCCTCCCCACTGCTAACCTTCCCCCACCCCAGATTTCAATGGCGGTGTGCAGATTTTTAACTGTTCTGTCAAGTGATTGGTCCGCAGCTTACGTTGCGCACGACACGTTCATTTTACAGCAGCGACTGGTTCACACTGACACTTTTTTTTATGTTAATATAAAAATGGATGCTAGGGAAATAGTGTGTTGGGGTGTGGATTGGTTTCATCTGGCTCGGGTTAGAGTCCATTGACAGGGTGTTGTGAAAACGGTCATGAACCTAGGGCCTCCACAAAAGGTGGGACATTTAATTTGATTTCTTCTTTGGTTTTTACACCTCCACTCCCCCCTACGTCTTTATGCCCTGATCGTTAAATGACGGGGATGGCTTTGCCGTTTCATCACAAGGTTTACTTTATTTTTATATTCTAGCTAGCTGACCGGGTAGGGATCGTGAAGAGGCAGTTTCCTCTCCAGTGGTTAGTACCTCTGGCTGTTTGTTCTTGAAGGCCTTACCGGGAACGTCTGAGGTCAGTGGCTTGGAAACTGACAGACGCTTTTCAATACGTAATTCTTTTACGATACCAGGGCGACGTCGAAATAAACTATTAATGGAGATTTACATTTGGAAAATTACAGTTTCTTCCACCGGTACGATATGAATTGAATTTGGGTTATGAGTTGAGGTTGCGTGCGTGTTTTGTTTTAAGGCTATGGTCGGTTTGTTCGATCACGTTCGTGTGATCAATATGGCCGTGACCTCTTGCCTTGATGTTCAGATCGATAAAGCGACATGGAAATTTCTGTCTACGTGTGATTTTTTTTTTAAATTGCGTAATCGCGTGTGAATGAACCAGCGATGTGTCACTCCTGCGTGCCACGAGGTGATTCCGTGCCTCGCCTTCGGAAACCGAAATCCCGCTGCTGCTTAAAAAATCTTGTTCCTCTGTCGATATGTTTCCATGGTAATGTTTAAGAACCTCGAAAAGTTAACTTTTTTTAGTGATGTACCCGCAGACACAGTGAATCTGAACCTTCAGGTTGAGTGATCATCCCGGGTATTGGTAAGACAGAAAAGGTTAGATCACATTCAACTTTTTTATGGACAAATAAAAACGCCCGGGAAACATTGGGGTGTTGGAGGAATATTCAAACATGGGGGATATTTAGGGATTTTGAGGGTGTGGATTGGGTTATTCTAACTCAGGTTAGGGGTAGGTGGTGGGCTGTTATGAGCACTGTATTTGAATTTTCGGATTCTATGAAAGGCAGGGAACGTCTCTGGTAGCTGAGCCACTGTTAGTTTCTCAAGAAGGGCTTTCTGCGCTAGTGTATGCAGTGAGACAGGATTCAGCTGGCTCTGTGTGGGATCGGATGACGGTCATGAATATTTGGATTTCTCAAGTCTGATAGGAAACTAGCTAGCAAGATGCATTTATCGATTGCACTGCTGGTTAGTGTGTTATTTTACGAAGCTGTATCAACTGAAAAATTTATTTGAGTTCGTTTTGTGCTGTGGACCGGAAAGGTCTGGGAACGAAGAGGTTCTCGTGCTCCCTGTTACGTCAAAGACTACCTGGGAAAACCGCGAAAAGTACTTACTGGGGTAGTCGATTGAGATTCTAACCCAATTACCCCTTGAGGTAACCTGCTCGTTCGGATGTTTCCCCCTAAAACTTGTGGCTGGTAATGCACTAGGTTCGGCTGATGCCGTGGTAACGGCAATGAGGGTGTTGCGTTCTGTGTGAGGACGCAGAGGTTAGCACGCAAGCGTAGACGGCTTCTTTGCCACGTGGGGGTCCAATGTAGACTGACCTGGTCACACACGGCATCCGGTCGAATACTGGAATCGTGGGTTCAAATCCCTGTGCGTTCCAGCGTGCCTCTTGCAAAGAGTCCTGCCATGTTTGTGATGGATCATTTCTTTCAGAATTAATTCAACATCAGACAGTCATGGGGTTAAGAGATGATTCTTGAAGAACAAATTATTTTGTTGCGTAATTACATTATTTGCTTTGTGGTTGGTTACGCGGTTGTTGTAATGGACCAGACAGAGGGTAATTGCAAGTAAGTTAGAGATCATTGCGTCATTGCGCGTTTAATGATTCACCAAATATTATTGGAATGATTTGATCAACTCGGATGAGGTGGGCGAGGCATGCAGCACGCGTGACTGCCACCGAGAAGAAATTCATGCAACATTTTGGTCGTAAAATGTAATATCAGACTACTCGAGCTACCTCGGCATGTTATTAGAGGATAATATTAAAATGTACATTTAAGATAATAGGTTGTGAGAGTTGTGGGTTTAATTCATCTGGCTCCAGATAGGATGCTGTGCCGATCTGTTGTCAACACTAGTAACTTTGGTTTCCGCTTGTTATATCAAATAATTTTATTTCTTAACTTGTAATTTATTTTTACATCTGCACTATCTGGTAAGAACGTGCGTGTTACGAGTGCGGTATCAACTGGTAATGTTATATAGTTAACGAAAGGTCGCATTATCAGTGTAGGGTCTTGAACGTAGGAGGGCACGTGTGCCTGGTCACGTAATCACTTGTTTGCCGACAGAGTCTACAGTTCAAACAGTGGAAACGATACGCTATTGTTTCACAGTTTTTGTGTGACCACAGCACGAGAGGTCAAAGGACCGGCAGACCGCGCAAGGTCAAGCCGCCGCCTCTGCCTGGCGACAGAGAAGGGTCTCGAAGCTCCCGTCACTCAAATTTTATCTGAATGTGTGTATATATGGCGTGGAGGTAAAATGCCACTTATTCTAGGCCGGTGAGTAAATAGAGGTGAGCGACTGGGAGAACCCCGTCTAGGCATCGGAAAGGAGACTGTGTGGGTCCAAGAAAAGGTTGAATGTCGTGGCCACGTAAGCCACGTGGAGATCGAAGTCGCGGATTTTTTTGTCAGAGTAAATACTGTGCAGTTTTCAGAAGTCTGTATTCAGGCTTCAACGAATAATTAACTCACATATTTGATGCTCTGTTAGACTCCGCTGTCAATTCCAAAGGAGAGTTTTACCGAGTGGAAATATTGGACTGTTAAGAAATGGAGGGAACATGATGACAGAAATTTACATAGTGTGGAGGTTCACAGTTTGTGCTCTTTACGTGGCATTGATTATTATTATTAAGTGTTCTGTCTTACGACAGGTCCATTGCTCTGCCCAAAAAGAGCTCTCCAGTCGTCCCTATTCTCGGCTTCTCGCTTTAATTCCTGGAACGTCATCTTCTTTCCTTGTTTAAGGTCGTCGGTTAGCTGTGTCAATCTTCTTCCGAGTCCTCGCCTTCCTTCAACCTGGCCTTCGGTGATATCACTCATTAATCCATTCCTTCTCATAATATGTCCCAGCCAGTTAGCTTTCCTTCGTGTAATCGCCTGCAGAATGCTTCTTTGCTCGTTGACTCTCCTCAATACTTCTTCGTTGGTCACTCGATCCGTCCACCTGATCTTCTCCAACACCACATTTACATTAATTAAATTAATTATGATCTGGTCTGTATTTGTAGCATTAACGCTGGATATTGCGTGTCAAATTTTACGCGGAAGACCTGTGCAGAGCTGGGAGGATAATATTAAAAAGGATGTTGCTGGTTTTTGCAATCCAAATGCAGGATTTTTCTGAACACATGAAACTCCCGAGTTGCATAATATTTAATATTTTCCAGTCGGAATTTGAAAGTAAAGTGTGCTTTACGTGGGTCCATATCAAGTTTGGTATGTGTAAACAGTTTCTTATGCTGTAAACATGAATTCAGTTGCCACATCGGTGATTAAATCATCGTGTATTGACATCTCACAGGGACCTTGTACCCATCGGCTCTTTGTGTCAACAGGTCACGCGATGCTGGGCGGCCAGCTGGCGTCACCAGACACTGCACACGGTCTCCTGCCCCTCTCGAAGCGAACACCCCCTGGTTATAAGCAGATGCTGTTAAATTAGCAACTGATTTCTTTGCCTCGGCCGACGTCGTCAAAATGAGGTTCGCCTGGGTGTTGCTTCTGGTATTGGGCGCATGCGCTGTTGTGTCAGCCGAAAAACAGGGTGAGTTTAGACATTTTAAACTGCTCAGTAGATAAACGTTGTTTTGTAATAAGATGCTTGCTGTAAATATTTGTCTACTGATGCGTCTGCGCTGTTTGGAATTTGAACTGCGCGCTTACCAAACAATATATGACTGGTAATAAGGACATTCGACTGACCGTGAAATATCTGTTTATTTTTAACTCCTGTCGGTTTGCACCGTTTGGGTACCTGTATAGACTTAAGTTGAATATTAATCACCTGCCTTACCGATCAGTAACTTTAAATTTCACCCACAGAATGTATTTGTAAGTTTTATTTAATTTGAGATTTGAAAGGTGCAGTCCAAACCTGAATTAAAATGAATTTTTTAAAAAATTCTAAATGCTCGTAGCTGAAATAACGTAAAAAACCTGAGTTTGTCTCTTCTACGTCAGATTTATTCATCAACTCGTACTTCTTAGTGATTAACGAAACGAGAGAACTACTGTATAATATTAAAAAGCGTGAACATGCGTTGAAAACTTTATTGTTTTTTTTTCATGTATGTTAGTTCCATTGGGACCTCATCATTTTCAAGACATAAATCACGAAAAGCTAAAGGTCAGAGGTCAGAATTATTCCTTGAATTGTTTGTTTTCGATATGAATTATCACGCTGTTTTCCGATGGAAGATTTTCAGACTGACATGTGGAATTTGACCTCCCATCGGTTCGTGATCTAGACAACTGACTGACCGAGTGTTGCGTTCTCAAACCGTGGTTCGTGTTACAGCGGACGCGACCTTCCTGAAGCGACAGCTGCAGGTTCTGAACCTACTCCGCCACCTGAACCAGCCGCTCACAGACCCCGAACTCACCGCCTTCAAGGACTCGTTCAGCCCGCTGAACAACCTGAACAAATTCAAGGTTCAGTGCCGTATTTTGGTCTTATCCGTTTACCCTAATCAATTGGGACAATATTTGGTCCCAAAGGATGGAGAAAGTAGTCCAACATGAGGATTTGAGAAAATTACATCGTGAGAAACTTAGTGAATTTTACTCTAAATTAAATGTATTTTATTATTGATGGTGTCAAATCAAGGACGATGAGATGAACGTAACGTGTAGCACGCATGGTGAGATGAGAAATTCACACAGAAGTTTAGTCGAAAAACCTGGAGGGAATAAATAGATCACGTGGATTGGATGATATTATTAAAGTGGATCTGTGTATGAATGTCGCGTGTAGTTGTGGTCTGGTCCTGATTGACTCATAATTTATCGTGTTATGGGCTTTTGTGAACACGGTGATCCTTTGGTTTATGAAAAAGTTGGAATTTCTTGATTAACCGAGCAACAGTCAGCTTCTCAGCAAGGGTTGTTTATTTATCTGATTACTTACAGCATTACTGAGCCTAAAGAATTTGAGTGTTTTTCAGGGGTACGTGTTCAGCCAATTACGCCCTCATTGGCCAATGCTGGTTAGACAGGCAATCCTTAAAATTCAGGACCGAAGTTTACGTAATTATATTGCGGGGTTGAAAATTGAACAAAGGGAACGGCTATTTGGTTAAGTGTGCAGTTACTATACGCACAAGTTATCTTCAGATTTGCCTTTTTAGATGCCACTCCGTCTGGCCGCGTCAAGGTCGCTCGAGCACGCGTCCTACAGACCGTTTAGAAAACATCGTTCCAATATACTATTATTATTAATAATATCGCTGTGAATTGCTTTGTTATATATTGTGTGCTGGTTTTGGCCTTCGCTGACGTATGTAGGGTCCAGGGTTCGGGATGTACCAGTAAGTAATTCTTCTACCGTTCCTACATAGAATTTTTTTTATTATTTCCGGGGACTGATCTACCCACAGACACAAAATGCTGGTCAGAGTCCCGTTGCTATGGGTGCAGCATCGTTGGCATTGTTACAGGACCCAGCTGCAGTCAGAGATTTCGTGGAATTGGTGACGACGGGCAAACTACTGGAACGCGACGCGATCTTCAGTCTGTTCAACCCTCGCCACCGCGCGCAGATGGTGGCGCTGTTCAAGGTCCTCCACGGCGCCGTCGACTATGACACGTTCTTCAAGTCTGCCGTGTGGTCCCGAGACCTCACAAACCCTCGTCAGTTTCTGTACGCGTTCAGCGTCGCGGTTCTGCATCGAGAGGACTGCAGGGGCGTGATACTGCCCCCCGCGTACGAGGTCACACCACACATGTTCCTCACGACGGACGTCGTCAGGAAGGCGTACCAAGCCAAGATGACGAGGGTAAGTGCTTTTAAGACTTCCCACGGACGACGTAGAACCTTAAGAACCGTGGCTGTCGGACGGACGTATTAGTATTCGTACTTTATCGTCGTGTGGCGTATACCCTGAGAATTTATATGGGTTTGTCGTCCTTCGCACAGACACGACACGCGGGCAACCGCTGATTTTTTTTATTTATTTGGCAGTGATCATAAATGATTTTTATGCACCGTGTTTGAAACCACTGCAAATCCCCTGCCGCTGATCTTTGTCGTAAAACCAGCGTTGCCATGGAGACCGGCAACACGCGCGGCGTACAACTGCAAGTACGCATTGTCCTTCGCGGGGCGGAAGCTCCTAGCAGAAAATCTGATTAACTGACCGCATCAACATCGAAACTTAATAGCATTTGTACTCGTCTAGAACTTTTAAATTTTTACAACCCGGATTCAAAATTCATCGCCGTGCTGCTGAGAGAGAAGCCGACCAACATTAAAGCATCTCTTAAAATGGCATATGCTTTTCCATCGGTCACATCGGCTATTAAATTTTTATTTTTATTTCATTTCTCCGCCGTACTGGTATTACTATTTAAGAAAATTATCTCGATTGCGTTTAAAACGCCATCCCAGCGTTGCTATGGAGAATTTATTCTCCGATTGATACGTTGTGCCCCGTTGGTTGGCTTCTGAGCTCGGCGGCTGATGGTTTCGTGCCTCGGGGGCTGTTACAGACGCCGATGGTAATCCCGATGAGATTCACGGGCTCCGTGAACAACCCGGAACAGCGGGTGGCGTACTTCGGCGAGGACGTGGGTATGAACTCCCACCACAGTCACTGGCACATGGACTTCCCGTTCTGGTGGAGGTCGGAGGAGTTTGGCGAGCAGAAGGACCGACAGGGCGAGCTATTCTTCTACATGCACCACCAGATGGTCGCCAGGTGAGCGACTGGCGAGAATATATTGACTTCTCATTTTGCTATCAAAGTGCATTTGTGGGTTTCTTACGATTCTTAAAATAAGCGACTTGTCGTGTACCCTGTGAACATCCGCCACGATACAGATTTGACGCCGAGCGCCTCTCGAACAACCTGCCGGTAGTGGAGCCTCTGGAGTGGGACCAGAAAATCGTCGAGGGTTTTGCCCCCGGTGCGACGTATGAGAACGGACAGGAATTTCCGATGCGACCCGATAACATGAACTTCGGGGATTTGCCGTGGCTCACAATCCAGGACATGAAGATTGTGGAAGGCCGGATACGGGACGCCATCGCCTCCGGCTTCGTCAAGACGGTATGTTATACCGGGTGTCCCAGGTATTCGCTGCTTCACAGATAATGATTCCGCGATGTCTCCGACATTCTATAATCGTGTTGTTAGAGCATTCTTTTCTCTAACCTTGATATTTTACAGAAAAGGGGAGGATGTGGACGGGATAGCCAAATAAAGAGACCAGAAAATTCACAGGTCTGTCATTGAATATCAGAGGTTTTTAGGTTGTCATTTTATTTGAGTTGCGGCGTCATACAGTCTTTTGTACTGGGAAAAATTATGCGATTGCGCGAACTTATATCGTTTCTTCCGTCCTTTCTGTCTGTCCGTATTCCTTCCGTTCTTCCTTTTTATATTTTTCTTTATTTCTCTCCTTTTCGCTTCTTCATTTCCCTTTGTTTCCTTTCCATTTAAATTCTCCAATCCTTCCTTCCTTCCTCCATCTCTCTCCGCATTCGTTCTACCCTGCAGACCGACGCTGGGCTCATCAGTCTTAACAACACCGCCGGCATCGACCTGTTGGGGGGACTGGTCGAATCGTCGGCTCGCAGCGTCAACCCGATGTTCTACGGTCAGCTGCACAACGACGGTCACGTGATGCTGTCCAAGGTCACGGACCCTCAGCAGCGGTACGGAATGCCGCCCGGGGTCATGGAACACTTCGAGACGGCGACCCGGGACCCCGCGTTCTTCAGGCTGCACAAGCATGTCGACAACCTTTTCAAGATGCATAAGGACCAGCTTCCGCCTTACGCTGCCTCCGAGGTAACGGAACTTCCTGTGGAGTTTGTGTTTCCTAAGTTGTAAAGCCACGTGGACTTTTGCGAAGTTGTGCCACGTTTCGCCTTCTCAGAATTTCGCGTTCCGTTTCAGCTGGAGTTCCCTGAAGTGACGATAGAAGCCGTCAAAGTGATAGGCACTTGCAAGGCTAGCACACCGAATCAGTTGATCACGTACTTCGATGAGTCGCACATCGACCTGAAGAACGCTGTCCACGCTGAGGACCAAAAGCAAGAAGTCGACATCAAGGTACAGGCTTCAGTGTGTATCGACGCGCCGTTGAACAGGGACGGGCCATATCCAGAATTTATTTCTATGTGTTCTTTTTGCGAACCAGGTGGCGTAACGAGGACGTATTGGTCTTCCGTCCGTCCAGATTTCTGTCTTGATTCGTCGAAATCGATCAAATTATTTTTTATGAAATTTTCGATTAGTCTCCTCTTTTAGCTGTCATTCGAATTTAATTTTGTTCTGTTTTGGCCCAATATAACCCTTACTTAATTTGAACTGTTATATACTCTAAAAGATTTGAAGTTTAAGAAATTGGCGTCGTCATACTTCATCTGAAACTTGGCTGAAATCACAGTATGAAAATTTAAGTAGCTCGGAAGGCAGTGTGAATTATGTTACGGCACACCTGTACAGAGTGTTTGAACTCTGAGGACGTGCTGTTGCCCCCTGATCGATACGGCGTGAATTTCCCGGTTCCGTCGTCAAAAGAAATATAATAATCCTGGGCAAACTGCCGGAAGTAACTCCAACTCTCGGCTCGCTGCCTCCGCTCCCCTCACACTTTCTATTTCGGTCATGAATGAGAGTTTCGAATTAGAGTTGGATGGCAGCTGTACCGTTAGTATTCATCCGTGTGGCGAGTTATGTGTCAGCGTCAGAATTGTACCTTTTTTCCGCCTTTCAGTCACCGTCTCTAGACGAGATATTCAAAATGCTTGTCAGAATTTACTAAAAATAGAAATGAGCAGCGAAGATTTGATCTGACTTAGGTTTTGTGCTGTTAGCGATGAATTTAATGACCTGCAGAATACCTCTCAAGTTACAGACCTTTGACTCAGTATATGCCGCCAAATTGTGGCGTGCGTAGTATAAGAACTTACAGAATACTTTTGATATTGGTTAGTGTCACAGCACGTAATCAACTGTTCCAGGCAGTGGTAAGTAGATTGAACCATGAACCCTTCAAGTACGTCATCACGATCAACGCCAAGAAGCCAGTACGCGGCATTGTCCGTGTCTTCCTTACACCAAAGTTCAACTGGTTCGGACAGCAGATGCCCCTGGATGTGTCCCGCTGGGGATTTATCGAGCTGGACCACTTCCCCGTCAGTCGTGAGTAAATTTGTCTTACCCTCGCCAACTGCTACTGAAGTGCAGTTTCTCATATCCTACATTTCATACTTGAAAATAATTAATCACTGTGCCGTAGAATCAAGCGCTTGTCAGGAGCGCCTGCAGAGTGTTGTTTAGGCCATCCGCCCAGTAGTCGTGTCGGAGAAGTTGCCGCCTGTCACGGAGCTCGTTTATTTGCAGTTCAACACGGGGACAACGTCGTAACGCGCAGTTCTGCAGACTCGGCGGTTACCATCCCAGAGCCACGAGGTTTCTCGCAACTCATGGGCGATGTGCAGAAATCCATCCGCGGCGAACAGGTGTTTACGTACGACAAGGTACGAACACCATACGCCATCTCCGGATGAACAGTAAAAATTGGGGCTTGATATAAAAATATGTAACAACGTGTTAGGAAAATACAGAAAAAAATACGTACATTATACAGGGTGTCCCATTTAAGGCTAAACTCCCCGTGACAGCGTGACGAAGCGAACTGGCATCTGTGGGTTTTGACTTACGTGGGACATCGTATAAGAATGGATAATGACTCATGGTATGTGATGAAGTTCAGGTATTTGGAAGGGGCAGTGTAATTTTAATCTGAGTGACGTTAAGTAATTGTTCCAATTCGGTCGACAATCTTTTGCTGTATCACAAATCATGAAGATAAAAATATGCTAGTCTATGTGGTTTCTTACGTGGGTGTGAACTTAACCTTTTAAGACCCAGTGGTAAATATATGTACCATCTGCTTCACACAGTTAATAATTCAGCGTTTTTTATGTATGGGTTTCGTATTCTGAGCGTAAACAGCGATTAATTCCTTAAACAGCGTTAACCATTCGATCTTTGTAATGGTGAAGTGTAGTGTTTTCTTCGCGGTACGGACTGAATTCTTAAATGTAATTTAGACGAACTTGGGCTTCAAAGAGTTAATCTTTGACTCTGAGGAAGCTTAATCTTCTTAAGGTTATTAGATCAGGAAGGATTAAATGGGCTGGACGTTTAGAGCGAATGTGGAACTGGGGAACAGGCGACGACGGTTGTCATATTTGTGTTGGTGAATAGTGATGACGATTATCGTTATTTTGATTCAGGGGTGTATTCTGGTCACATCCAATGCAGCATATTTTTTGTCCTTTGTGGTTTCAGTATTACCGCCATTGTGGATTCCCACATCGTCTGCTGCTCCCTAAAGGAAAACCAGAAGGCATGACGTACAAGCTGTACGTCGTGGTGACGGATTACGACAAGGACATCGTAAGTTGGCTGTACTCCATTACGGTTTAGAACTTAATGCATGTGCTAACAACTTTGAGTAGCAAGTAGTGTCTGAGAGTCGTGGTAGCTTGTTGAGTAAAGGTGTGTGATGTGTACTGGATGACCGGGTATAAAAATTCCATTTAGGTCATCGGGATTATTTCGTTTCTCGTCGTTGTGTTCAGAAACGACCTGCGTCGCGACCACCCTTTTACTTGAACAACTCTTTCCTTGGAGTTAAAGAAACAAGGTCGTGGAACTTGCCATTTGCCGTCACCCATTCTAATATTTCGGCTGACATAGGCTTGATGATGATTTTTATGGAGACTCGTTGGTATATGCCATCGTTTCAGAGAGACATACTGTCTCCATACTCAGGGTTGAAATGGCGATGTGAAGAAGAGGGATTTATAATACGTTTGGCGGAAGGGAAGGTCAATTATTGATGATGAATGAGTTGGAGAAAGTACCGGGCAAGTGGGGAGTCTAGGGTCTAAGTGGAGTGTGGGTAGAGAAGAAGTCGGCCCTTTTCAGGGCCTATTGAACAAGGTCCAGTAGGGAGTCTAGGGTCTAAGTGGAGTGTGGGTAGAGAAGAAGTCGGCCCTTTTCAGGGCCTATTGAACAAGGTCCAGTAGGGAGTCTAGGGTCTAAGTGGAGTGTGGGTAGAGAAGAAGTCGGCCCTTTTCAGGGCCTATTGAACGAGGTCCAGTACGGAGTCTAGGGTCTAAGTAGAGTGTGGGTAGAGAAGAAGTCGGCCCTTTTCAGGGCCTATTGAACGAGGTCGTGGTGATTTTGGGGCAGATCCTGCTGCTCACCTGTTGTTAAATGAACCAAGTGTGGATGAATGTGTCGTGCGCGCAGGTGACAGCCGGAATGAAGCCGGAAGAAATTGAGAGCCTGCCCTCTCTTGGGTACTGCGGCGTGATGGACGGTAAGATTCCGGACGGCAAGCCTATGGGATTCCCATTTGACCGTCGTGTCGTATCTGAAGAGCAGTTCTTGACACCCAACATGAAGGTTGTGGACCTCACCATCAAGAACGTGAAACAGAAACCGATCGAGTGAGAAACGCTTTCAGATTTTGGCCGGACCACGACCTGCATTGTCGTATTCAGACGTGGCCACCTCTGAAGTCCTGCTTCATTTAACCTGTATTATGTGATCTGTAAATCATAAGTTTATAATCGAATCTTGAGAGTATTTTTCCATGTTTCCTTCGTGTTTCCCATATCAGTTCATTGAAACTAACTCATTTTATGTAACTCGTATTCCCCAAATCTGCATGACACCATATCTTAGATGTCATATATCACCACGGACGCCATTTCTTCTGCCCTGCGTGGAAGGAATTCAAATCCTACCAAGTTTATGCCTGCCCTTCGAAGACCTTAAACTTAACGAAATTTTTTAAGAATTCATTTTCTACTCTCTGAAAAGATCGGTACAAAGATCTGCTGTTTATTGGTGGCTGCCTTATGGTCTGGTAGAAGCTTACCGACGTTTCAGAAGCAGCAAGGACCTCTGAAACGTCGGTAAACTTCTACCAGACTACAAAGCGCTACAACCCAGAAGACGACCATCTTGGAACTCACCGCCGTGAAAAATATCAATTCCTAAATGTTGTTAATTTTTCAGGGAATTAAGCATTGTTTGTTCTGAGAACCAAACTGAACGTAAATATACGTCCTGTGAACGAAATGGCCGATTTATTTAACTCTAAAGCAGGTGGTATATTCGGGTACGACTGTACTTGCCTTAAGATTTAATACGTCCAGTCCCCATGCCCTGGTTCTACCTATTCAGATGTTCTCACCTGTTTTCGGGTTATATTTTCATGTAATCTGTTGCCACTTTCACATTCCGTCCCGTCCTTGTGACATACTTTTTTTTCTAACACGTTCTTCCTACGCGCCAGCCTTTGTGTGTGTCGTTCTGTGTACTGCTGAAAATTATGTATGTCACGCTGGAATTAAAAAAACAAAAGTCACTAGCATTAGCTCTCGGCAATTTAATCTGAAATTTCCCTCTCCAGTCCCTGGTCAGGTTTTGTGGGAAGTTTATTTCCCCCCCCCCCTGTTGTGACACTTCATTTTCCTTTAAGGAGACAAAATTTGTTTTGTAGGGTTGGAAATCCTGTAGTGTTAAATGACACACCATCAACTGATAAACTGATTATGTGCTCTGTATAATATTAGTGTTGCCAACTGTAAAAAGGAATTTACTCTCAGTGTTTCATTTTTCTTTCTTTCTTTCTTACAAACCTTTTCTCTCTCTTTGTTTCATCTTCTCTTCCTTAATCTTTCTTTACATTTTTCTCTTTATTTAATGGTTTATAATAATATGGAGACTGTAATCGTATGTCAAATGGTGGAGGCTTTATAATCGTCTCCGAAACGTCGATCAGTGTATACCAGTCTACACATTTAAATGTCCCAGAAGGCAGCCATTATCTAACGTTACCTTGTTATTACGCGTTCATTTCATTCACTTTGTGTGAAGACGCACTAAAGCAAATCTGTGATCATTTTACGCCGATAACAGTTCGTCTGTTTTTTTTAATATTGCGTTATCGGTCTTGTGCCCTTGTTGCTGTAATTGAAAGCACGTGGGCAAAACAAACAGTTGAAGAGCAGAATCCGTTGCCTGAGGCTGTTTGTCGTACCAGATAATGGCGCACAAAAGCCGTGAATCCGCTAAACGACAAAGTTTTTTTTGCGTTAGATCAAATACCTTCTTACGAACGCCTGCAATTGACAATTTTATTGGACGTGGAAGGAAGATGCCGTGGCCTGATTTAAGGTACTGCCCCGGCATTTTCCTTGAGTGACTGAGTAAAAACGCGAAAAGCTTAATCATAGTAGCCTGTTTCCAGACGGAGATTTTAAACCGGGACCTAAAGGATACAACCACTCAACTTCGATGACATGATAATATTAAAATTGTTCTAAGAGAAAGAATGTGTGAAGGATAGGGTCTGTGGTAGGCTTTTGTAAGAACAGCTGAGATACTGCAATCTTAAATGTCTGGGTAAAGAGACGACGTTCGCTTACGTTCTTATGTCTGTCTGTACTGCTGTTTGGCAGAGTGGGTGGCCCGCCCTGTCAGGGGCAGTTGTCTGCGTACGTGCCGGAAGCCCGGGTGTTGCAGACATGTTGCCCAAGATAACACAAACTGTTCTGTTACTTGTGTTCCGGCATTGTACAGGTTGCTGTGAGCCTCATCACGTCTGGCAAAAACCGGCCTGAACTCTGCGAATCTTTGTTTTACTCAGTCTTCTACTCGTATTCTCTCCTAGTCTGTGACTGATGGCTTCCGTCGAGACAACAAGAAACCAACTTTTTCCCACTGCTAGACGTAAAGGCCATTGTACGTTCTGGTCCATTTAAAATGAAACCCTAAGTACCGCGCGTTAACCATTTTACTAAGTCGGTGGCAATATTGAATTCTTGTAGCGGCCTAGCAACCAGGGTGACCTTGACTCGGGTGGGTGGGGGCAGTCTATTGCACGGGGGTAGACCCAATTTTATTTTTGGCATCGTAGAACGTAGTTTTTGCTGGTTTACGCTCAACAAACACAGTCGTACTTCGTCTCCTTCCAACAGTTTACGCTCGGCCGGTCTTCATATATCACGCTTCACAAGTTACAATCGCCACGTCTGGGTTTTGCAAGAACAGAGTGACGCCATACTCACTTTGAACATCAGGAGATACTCAGTGGCCTTTAAACAGTTCGCAAATCACTTTGTGAAGACGAAAGGCGAGTGGTTATGGCCGAATATTCTTCCGTGCCAGTTTAAGACAAGTTCTTGGTTAATTTACAATTGCGCAGTTGGTATCACTGCATTGGCTAACAGTGTCTTCTTTTTGGTCTAGCATTGTCAGGTTTTCTTAGCGTTTCTTCTGGGTTATGTCCTATAAATTGCCTTGATTATTTTAATGACGTTTTTCAACTGAGTAGATTTTATTGTCGCATAGGAAGGTGATTGTGAATAATAAATTTGGAAGGATGGGTTGTAATAACGGTTGGCATTTATTGCCCAAACAATGGGAGAATAATATTAAAGTGGATGTTAAAGAAATTTGTTATGATAACATTAAGACGTATAAATTGGTTCAGTGTAGTTCTTGCATGATCACGGTGAAGCTGTCTTGGATTCCATAGCAAGAGACGATGTTTTCATGTTCGGTAGTATCACCATGATAAACGTCCCACAGTCTTCCCGGTTAATACGCAGCCCCTCGGAGAGGTACGTCTGTTGATGGACTCGACCGCGCAGCTAAAATTTATCGGCCTCCATAAAATATTTACATTGTATGTGTCCCATAAAATGTGTAATTCTCAGGCCATGTGAGTTATTCATCCGTTATGAATTACTTTTACCAGAGGACAGTCTCAGTGGTAACACAATGGTAACTCTATTTACCATCTGATTTAATAATCAGTACGTCTACATTTTTCCCAAAGAATACGTTTACGTAATTCGAAGAATACACAGCGGTTATTTGCTTAAACAGCGTTAACCAGTTGATCTTTGTAATGGTGAAGTGTAGTGTTTTCTTCGCGGTACGGACTGAATTCTTAAATGTAATTTAGACGAACTATGATTCTCACTGTAAACAGCGATTATTTCCTTAAACAGCGTTAACCAGTTGATCTTTGTAATGGTGAAGTGTAGTGTTTTCTTCGCGGTACGGACTGAATTCTTAAATGTAATTTAGACGAACTATGATTCTCACTGTAAACAGCGATTATTTCCTTAAACAACGTTAACCAGTTGATCTTTGTAATGGTGAAGTGCGCTGTTTTCTTCGCGGTACGGGCCGAATTATTAAATGTTAATTAGACGAGCTGCGACTTCAAGGGGTTCAAATCTCTGCCGCATTTAAGACAAGTGACGTAATTTTATTTTGTGGAAATGCGAAGTAGTGATTATTTTGACGATTAGTTCTGAAGATAATTATTGCAGAAAGTTACATACGTTACTTCACTGCTAAGTCTTTTCAAAGACGTGCGCATAAAATATGTTTGTTGTTTTTACAAGAATTGATTTCGTACGCAGTCTCCTTGGTATATGAACTATAATTCTGAGATCTCGGTGGGAACAATCAAAACTTGTTTCTGACATGCAGAACTACTTTTCGTGGAAGATTAGCTTGATCGGGTAACCGGATTCGAAGGCCCTGCTAGCAGTTTGCATTGCCGTCAAATCTTTCCACATCACGAACGGAGAGACCTCTCCCTGAGAGAGAACTCGTTTCAAATTGAGAATTATGAAATTATATTTTATCCTCTTCGAAAAAACTTAAACCTTTGTGTGGCCCTGCTCGCACGTTTTGCTAGTTCTCCGGCCTCGGAGTTGTGAAACAGACGATGGGGTAAATTATTATGGACGGGAAATGTACCCATTGTTCGTTCTACCTGAACTCGGGCGTTGCGTCGTGTCCTTTGTTTGGAACACAAATACGAAACAGGTGGGAATGAGAGAAGTTTCAGAAACAGTTAAAATGTATTGTAACCCTCGCGTGTCAACGAATTCCGTGCAGACTCCAGCGCTAAGTCTGCGAACAGCCCCTGCTTCGACACTCGGCAACTCTGTATTTTGTATACCCGGGTTTTTGTGGTTGTCACAATAAACTGCGATTAATTATTTCTTTAATCAACATCAACCAGTTGATCTTTGTAATGGTGAAGAGTTGTGTTTTCTTCGCGGTACGGACTGAATTCTTAAATGTAATTTAGACCAACTATGATTCTCACTGTAAACAGCGATTATTTCCTTAAACAGCGTTAACCAGTTGATCTTCGTAATGGTGAAGAGTTGTGTTTTCTTCGCGGTACGGACTGAATTCTTTAAATAATATTTAGACGAGCTTCAGCGTTGTAGGTTTAAAAGAACGTGTTACATAGGCGTAGTGTTTGCTCCTAGCCACGTTTTATTTCCAAAACTACGTATTGGATCTTGATTAAATTTTATATTTTGAGATTTGTTTCAATTTTATTCGTTGACTTTTATTGTGTTTTATATCGGTCTGCTATAAGCGTAAACCTTAGTTTACATGTACTTCAAATGGGACTTTATCATATTTTTTGAACACGGAACTTATGTAACTCCGTTATGTCTTTATTTAAATCCTGAGGCGTAAATATCTACGTCACATATAAACAATTGCGACCTTTCTGATTTCTCATTATTGTCACTAGGTCATTTAAAAATCTGATTTTTATTTAAAAATATCTCTGTGGAATTAGTAAAAAAAAATAGAAATATTTATTATGAGATATTTTGGAGTAATACGAGCTTATTTATTAATTTTAAATATCGAAATGTATTCCATGAAACACGTTCTTAGTGACAGTCTGGATTTTGCGCGTTTAAAGTTGATTTCGTAAAGTTACTTCGCCCTGATCTACATTACAGGTAGACGCTTTGCGTACAATGTTATACACTTCGTCGTTTTAACATACGAGCAAACGGACGCCTATAAAATTTCCACGACGCAGATCGCTTTAACGGCATCATGCATACATAGTCTTGTCGACTAGTCTCGGGCACACAGAACTCAGTAATGACGTCATCCGTTTGTAACAACTCGACCGGAAAATCCCTTTCTCGCGTCGTAACGAAACTGTATCAATGAAAGACAAAAATAGATTAAAAAAAGAGTTTTTATACATTTTGCAGCCACGTCCTTTTCGTTATCAGGGTAATTCCATTATTACATCGGATAAAGTATATATTTTAGATATTATTAGGATTTATTTAGACAAGAGTTTAGGTGGGCTCCATTAAGAAACATTTATACCGGTAATCAAACCCTAATCATCCAGTACACAAAACCATTCATGTACGTCTCTAGTGTATTGAACGAGCTGTTATGAAAACACTTGAATTGACTTTTCTGCACACCTTTAGATTTCAAAATGAAATTGGGTCTCTTAGCTAAGGCTTATGTATGTTTCGTCTAACACTAGCTTACCAAGTTCCTATTAGCAAAACCTGGTGATTCAACATGATTAATACCAAACTCCGCCATTGAACACGATCCTGAGCCAGTTCTATCCACCTCCGAGCCTCACAACCTTCTCGCCTAAGATCAACCAAAAATATTCCTTCTCTTTCCCGTTCTAGTAAGTGGACACTTTACGAGAAATACTCTCGTGTTTGGAGTTTGTCTCCTCTCTCAGCGCTACACGTGCTGTTCGCCCACAATCCTCTGGTTTGAAACGCTCTGAAAATCGACGACGTCGTGATATTTGTAAATTTCATTGCCTTGTCAACAACAGGGCCTCGAGGACATTCATTTCAGGGCTGGTTCTGTGAACAACGCATTTGTATTTGCAGGACGTCAAGAGCAATGAGGGATGCAAAATCCCAAAGACCTTGTGAAGCTGAGTGTTGCCATAGAAACGAGGCAAAACAGACGACAGGCGTGCTTATTTTTATATTGGCTCAGACACGCCTGGCTGAATTCTTTAACGAAGTAAAATAAGCACCACTTTCATTGTGGTCTCCAAAAAACACGATGACGCACGTAAGAGGGCTCTGTCATCTCAGTCAAAGCGAAGTGCCCTTCGTCGAGGCTTCCAGATGCTAAATCTGCCTCAATTCTAACGCGTTCAGACTCCGTTAAATGATGCGAATGCCCTGGCCACTGTCAGGAAACTCCGTGTGTAGATTATTTTTATCTCAAAAATAGCTTAAGTTCAGTGTCGCCGAATTTCGCCTACAAGTGGTTAGCAGCAAATTTACGTTTCCGAAATATATCCGATTTTTTTTTTAAAAAAAAAATAATCATTTCGGTTTGAGTGTGTAATGCGCACAGAATTTTGGTGATGAAGTATTTTTTAAGGAAGCTCCCCGTTATGGGCTCCGGCATTAGTCCTAATGAACCTCCGGTTCTTTGTTGAGATACTGCTAATTCATTAATAATTAATTTCTTCTAAGCTTTTAGGTTT